GCCTTGGCGACGCGTGCAGGCGCGGGCGGGAGCGGGGCTCGCGGGGCGACTTTCCCAGCTGGAGTGGCCGGTCGGCCGGCCCAGGGTGGACTGGGTCGGCGTCGTGAGGTGTGTGTCGGGGGCAGAGAGGAGGAGGGGAGACGTGGGAAGCTTCGGGGAGAAGGGGCCGGGGTGGAGGGGGCAGAGGGCGGGCAGGGGAGAAGAAGGGGCGGTAGGGGTCGAGACGCCGCGGCGCGGGGTGGGGGCGGTTGTGACCGTTGTAGGCAAGTTTGCCTCCTGGGAGCCCGCTTGAGGACAGGGCCGGTCCCCAGGCTGGCAGAGCAGCCCCCTCGGGGCCCGCCGTGGCGGGCCTGGGGGGCGAGCCCCGTGGGGAGGGTGCCCCCAGCCTGGCCCGCGAACGCTCCTGGGGCCCCGACCCGGAAGCAGGGAAGCACGGGCCCGACGCTTCTCTGGAGACCCGCAGCGCTGCTGCAGTTGGTTTTATCGATGCTTTGGCCCAATAGAACGTTTTTCCTTGGAGCAAAGTACACATCCTTCAAGTCTGCAACTCATCACCTGTGATCAATGCCTGGGGCAGCCCGTGGGGACGAGGGGGGAGAGCCACAGGTGGCTGTCAGGCTTGAGCGGGATGCAGCCCCACATTGCCCCTGGGACTCCCAAAGCCGGCCGGAGATGCTCCTGCTTTCCTGGGCGAGGCCTGGGAAGGCCCCAGTGCCTTCTCCCCGAGACGCAGTGCGAAATTCCACCTTGGGTGACTTTTCTACTTTTCTTCTTGCTTCTCCCAGTCTGTTCTCAGGGCATGAGGAGTGGGATGATCTTCATCTTCATTACTCAGTCAACTATACTAAGAGACCTTTTTTTTTTTTTTTTTGATTTTTTTTTTTTTTATTCATGAGAGACAGAGTGAGAGAGAAAGGCAGAGGGAGAAGCAGGCTCCCAAGGAGCAGGGAGCCCGATGCGGGACTCGATTCCAGGACTCCAGGATCATGACCCGAGCCGAAGGCAGTTGCTTAACCAATTGAGCCACCCAGGCGCCCCAGATTGTAAAGGTTCTTATGTACTAAATTGGATTTTGTTTTTTAGATTATACAGCTGATATGTAGATTTATTCTAT